CTCAAGTTCCATCCGTGTGAAGTCATGGAATCAATGCACCCCTTGCAGGTTAAGCAAGTACGGCGAGGGTATGATGTACTGGACTGAAATTCGCTCCCGAGGGTTCCTCAGGTTCTTTGGATTGACAGTGACAACAAAATCTTATTTGCACATGATTTCCATGGGTATGTATAAGAATGGATCCTTTGTTTAGCCGGTATGTATCAATAGTCTCCTTTCTGGTTTGTGACACTCTTGACGCCTAAGGAAAACCAAGCGGCACATCTCCAAGGAGATTTCCGAGTGGGAGGAGGAAGTGGGAAAGGACTGTGGCCATGATGTTCCAACCGATGCTCCCGAGCTGGAGTGGGGATTCATGGAAGGCAACAAACAAGAGCAAACCCCGGCAGCACCAGGCCACAATGCTGGTGAATTTCGATTTTATTTGAAGGTTAGTGTTGCGAACCAACTTGAACATACCAGCATTCCCCACCTTTTAAACCCTCAAACTCTGCCATCCCTCTGTCCTTGGTCAGGTCTGCTGCTGGACAAGGCCACTGAGGAAGCCGATACGGCACTTGTCCAGGTGGAATCTGAGGATGTGAAACGGGAGATGGATAAGCTCCAGTTTCCACAGGTTGAGGGTGACACTGCCCCTTCAGCACTGGTCCCCAAAGCATGTGGAAGCATTCAGAAACAAGTTGGTAAGTTAGAAGCCATGATGGAGACTTGTAAGTCTGTTGGCCGTCTTACACCCTTGCAAGAGCGGATACTTGACACCAAGCTATTTTTTGGGTGGGACATGGAGGACCCAATGATCAAATTAGAAAATAATCATTGATGATGGTTCCAAAAATATGATGCAACACATTATATAATTCTTCTTGGGGTATACTGACATTATTAGCTATGTTGCGTTGGAAACTACTGGGGGAAATACCATGAAAGGGAATTATAAAAATCAAATATAACCTTGAACTGAAGTCAGGAATCCCGTTATCAAAAGACATTGTTCTGTCATAATTTTATCACCCATGGCCCAAGGATGCAGAACAAGATCAAGCAGGCCATGGATGCACTTGTTCATCATGATGAACAACTTATGGACATGCACGGGGAAGGTATCCTTGAAGGTGGCTATACCAGGGCGTCCCTTGACCAATGGGAATCCTCAATGATTCGTGTCGGTAAGTTGGAAACCACCAAACAAAGATTCTATTTTTTTTTACTACGGTGAAAAATGGGTATGTTCCAGATTGGTTCGCTATGACAGCCGCAAGCCATAGTTAGCTAAAACCCAAGCCGCCCTTACCCTGCATATCCCTGCATGTAATGGCGTACAAAGAATGTAGGGGCCAAATTTGGTACCATAGTCAATGCCCAGGTATAGTGGAAGTATGAGAATTCAGGATGATATCCCACCTGCCATTTTCAATACTCACATGGTTGCCCAAAACCCAAGTAGATATTGTATTATTATTTTATTCCTTAGCAACTTTGTCCAAAAACGATAGATTAAAATCTTGGTTGTCCCGGGATGCAGCTCAAAATCTGGTACTTGGCTTTGGCCAGGTAGATGTAGTATGTTTGGGCAACACCACACCTTTGCTGCCTTAGGTTGCAAAAGAAAATCTCTATGGAGTTGGACGTTGCCCGCAAAAAGCCTGGGCCCTTAAAACATGTTTGCCTGCTTTTGTTTGGGCCTAGGGGTTGGGAATAGTTGAATGATCTGGCCAAACTAACTAGCAATTGAGGCTGGCAGAATCCATGGCCCTGGCACACTTTGCGAAGTTTGATCCTAAGTTTCCACAATGCAATACAATGCAACAAGTGTTGAAGCTGGGAAAATTAAGGGTATGTTTGATTTGAACGCCTCGTTCCCAGGACCAGATTGCCCGCTTCTGATGGCAAGGACAAGCCTGCAAAGGCTCCCAAGATCCCCAAAGCGGCGGCCAAGAAGGCTGCTGCAGCAAAGCCTGGCGGAGGGGTTGCTGGCCAGGCAAAGTCTGCCCCAGCACGCCGTGCCAACGGTAAGCAGCCGGACCAGTGATCCCACAACATCATAATTTGATCCATAGGCTGTTGAAACTTCACCGACTATGGTTTCAAAAATGAACGAATTTATGATGTCATTGTGGATTGGAATATGTTATTTTTCTGGAAAAAAATGGTCTCCTGGAAAGCTGCGATTTGAAAGTGTGGTGGGGTATCCTCACTGACAAATCTTACAAGGCTGGGACCCAACAGTTGGTTTCCCAACTCAATCCTGCTACGTTTGAGTTGCCCTGCGACAGCCAGGACGCAGGCTGACTGCAGTGGAAGTTGCTTTTGTGGCCAAAGGATACAAAACATATTCCTTCTCATTGCTTTTACGCAAAATACTTCAGTGAATTGTTGGATTCCATAAGTTAACCACCCCATGAGCTTTGCTGCCAGGTCAAAGGGAGAATACTCTCCCTGAACGCTTTATTGACAATCTTGCCGATTCACTGGGTGATGGTGTCAGGGTCTCAACTTTTGCGGCCTCTTTTTTGGAATCTCCCTTCCCATTTGTGGCCTGCCAAGGCCACAGCTGCAAGCGCTGCCAGATCTATTCGCTCCCTGGATCCACGAGCGTCAGGGAACGATGACTACACTGACACAAATGCTTCAAGATTTATACATCAAAAGATGGAAAAAATGGGGTATTCCCTCCCTGTGCCAATCCACACCATGGATCATGTCTGTGAGACTGCCGATGTTACAAGACTCACCAGCTACCACATCAAACCAGAAGATTGGGTAAAACACTGGATGAATGAGCGCCCAGAGCTCTTAGGTGGATGGAATGGATGTGCACACAAAAATTTCAAATCGTTCTGGCATGCTTACCAATTACAACATCCAGGACACAAAGTCTTTTCTGAACATCAAGGGCGTTTGGACAGAGTGGTGCCCCTGATTCTACATGGTGATGAAGGAAGGGCAGTGAAAAGAACAAACTACCTGGTTTTGTCCATAGAATCACCCCTTGGATCTTTGGATGACCCTACGATCAAGTGCACATGCCATGAAGAGTTGGGCAAGCGCTCTGGTTTGCCTTCCTACGGTCCTGATTTGAAAGCTGTTGACCCAGAAATCTTGGAGACTTGCTCGAAGCAAACTACAAACTTCAAAGGTCATTCCTACTTGTCCCATTTTCTACTGTTTGGACTTGGTGGTTGGATCTACAAACGGAACCCCAACGTTGTTGATGATTTGATAAAGGAAGTTAGCAAAAGCTTCCAGAAGCTTTTTGATGAAGGAGTGAGCACCTCTGATGGTATCATGTATGCTGCGATAGTAGCTATCAAGGGCGACATGGATTTCCACAAAAAAGTCATGCAGCTGGAGAGGAGCTACAGCAATCTTGGCACTAGCAGATCTATTGAACTGTGTCATCTTTGCAAAGCAGGTGGCCCCAACGTTCCATTTGAGGACTACTCCGAGTTCCCCACATGGTTGCAAACTTTTTGTGTTGAGAGACCGTGGTCATTGGATGAACCCCCCGAGTTATCACGGGTGCCATTTGATGACACATGCCCTGAGCTGATTCTGCAGCCTGACTTGTTCCATATACACAAACTTGGTGTTGCCAGGGACATCATCGGAGGAATTTTGGTGCTATTACTGAGGCTGAAATTTTTTGACTTTCCAGGCAGCACAGTCAACATCGTGGACCGATTCCAGAGGGCTCATTCCTATTTCGCCCTTTGGTGTTCTGTCCAAGGTAAAAGTCCAGGCCTGAGAAGCTTTACCAAGGCATTCTTCAACATGAAGACGCTGGTTTCGGCACCCTGGGCATCGAGCAAGGGAAGTGACAGTATTTTACTTCTCCAATGGCTGAGCTACACCTTGGAGTTAAACATCCAAAATCCTACTGTACCAGGCCACGAGGTACTATTGAAACAAATGAATCAGGTATGTGATGCGGCACTTAGTCTACGGATGCTTCACCATCACCGGCTTTGGCTTGGGAGAAAATGTGCCATGTTATGCTATGTGCGCATAATGACTGTCCTACGAGGATACTCGGTGCTGGGGAGGGCTGCAATCAACCTTCGCATTAGGGCCTTCATACAGAAGCCAAAGCACCACGCTTTACACCATGTAGCTATTCATTTGCAAAGAGAGTTGCGCAAAGGAGCTACTCTAATCCTATCACCGCAATGCAATGCTTGTGAAATCAATGAGGATTTTATGGGAAGAATTTCGCGGTTATCCCGACGGGTTGGATTCCGTCTATGTGACCTACGGGTGATCCACCGCTATTTCATGAAGGTTTCATGTTTGATCAAAAGGCGAGACGCAAAGAAAACCAAAAAGGTTTGGGCCAAACGATGAGAGAACACCGGAAAATATAGAATTGATAAGTGAGATTGCTTTAGAAGTCTCTTTGCTGAAACCAAGTTTGGGTAACATTCCAAAGTTGAAAACATGCTGTTTCGGTGCCCATCCCTTTCCCAGCTCTGGGGTCTCGAGCCCCCTCACTTCACACTTGGCAGCATTGGCAGCACAGGTGCAAAAGTGTGGCATGGGTATGCTTGGGTCATACGGAAGGGTTCATGTTTAACTAGCCACATCCCTTATGAGTCAATGGTCAACTCTTTGAAGAACAACATTGTGGAGATAATGGGGTTGATAGAATTTTGATTGAGGAATAACTATTTTATGTATTACATGACCACCCTATGTTACATGATATTGTGCAAAAACCATCAAACACCACCAAATCACCTAAAATGCATTCGGGCAGAAATTCTGCCTGCGGGCGAGAAATCTGGATTCGGGCTGAATAGCTGCCTGAAAGCCTTCGGGCTGAAATTTTTGTAGTCAGGAAGATCTAGGTATATATATACCCTCTGGTAATTTAACATAGCCATGGAAAATCACAATTGTTAATAGGTAAACCATCTATAAATGGGCCATGTTCCATGGCTATGTTATATAACCAGAGGGTAATATATACATCTTACTTCCCAAGTGTCAAGCATGTTTTCCTCATGTTTGTTGGCTTTTTGATGCTTTTTGCCTCCCGGGAGGTGATGCATTTTGCCCATGAGCAAAACACGACGACCCTGGCGCCATTCTACCTTTTTTTATGCGGCTGACTTAAGTCAAAACTAGATATCATATAGGAAGTACAGTTAATAGATGTTAATAGATGTTAATATCAATAGATGCTAATAGTTGACATATCTAGTTTTGACATGTTTTAAGTGATAGATTTATTGAATGATATTATTATGAATAGATATGTAACTAATGTTACAGGAAGTTAAGTTAATAGATGTTGATAGTAACATGTCAATGTTGTCAACTAATGTTTGAACCATCTGTTGAGGATCTAACTTCGAGATTGTTTGAACAGGCTGTTGGCAAAGTTAGATTCTTAGAAGCTCAGGATGTGTGAGATTCTGGCGATCCAAACTGGATCTCCGGAATCCAATCGTTTAGGCCAGTTATAAACCAACATATATGTAACATACACCTACTAGCAATCACATTTCAATAAATGTCAATAATTTGTCAATAATCATGGTTCTTGGTTAAATCATGTTACATCAAGGTGTTTGTTCCTTAGAATCACCATTTGCGTCATTTTGCCAAGCAACAGAATCAGGCCAGGTGTTTAACCTCAAAATGTCGAGGTCTAACCGTCTGAAGGAACTTATGGCCAGTTTGTTGCTCCAAAATATTGATACCCATGTCCAGGAATAGTTGCAACATTTACATGACCTAGTTGGTTCTGATGTTTTACCATTTCTTTTAAGAGTTGAGTTGAAAAATCCTGACCGGGACAACAGTGATAGATATGAATAGAATCGAAATGGGTAAAGGTCGGGACAATGAAACCATGAATCCCTGCTTGGCTGGCGGAAGAATCCCTATTTTCCAGAGGATCTATCAACATCTATCAACGTATTAGTTTCCAGCTTACTCAGTACTTGGGTTATGCCACAAGCCATTATTTCAGCGTTAAAAAACCCAAACTACTGGGATGATTTCTTGGGGGAAAACCCATGTCCAAGAAATAGGAGGAAACCATCCATCCATCCATCCATCCATCCATCCATCCATCCATATCAGTTTTACGATGTTGTGAACAACAGAACCAAAGCCGCTTGGGTTCTTTGACGATAGGTAAAAAAAAACCTCTCAATTTTGCTGATCCCAAAATCTTGGACGAAGGTTCAGTGGTGAGTTCATATAGCCATGCCATGACATGCCCATGACTATCCCTCAATTAATATGTTTGAATGTATCCAGAGTTGTTCCAAGCAAATCTAAAGGAAATAACACTAAATTTCTTGACATCTGGGATGTTAGTAGCAACCCTGATATCCTTGAGTTGGTATATCAGTATATCCCATTGAATCCTGTTCCAAAGCGGCAGGTTGGCTGCAAACCCAAGCCATTGCAGAGCACTATAGCACCAAACTCTCCCAAGAGGACAACATCGTGCCGTGGCAAAAGCGGTGGTGAATTCACCCGAGTTATGACATTAGTGTGAACCGCGAAGTACAGATCAAAATGATCTACAGATTCCATGTGTTTTTTTTGGGGGGGTTTTCCATAGGTTATTTCACAGAAGGATTTATCCTCTTGAAAACTCACATGGAACACCAAGAATGAGGTTTGGATGAAGATTTTGTTCAACTAAAAACCAACAGAAAAGCGAGGATTTACAGGCAATGTTCCTTTCCTTGGTAGGGATTTTCTGTTTTTCTATATTTTTTTGTGATTTCTCATAATTAAAGAATGCCATCAACACTTGCCAATATGAGTCGTTGAGAATTCGTTGCATCCGATATTCCCAAATATTCCCACACTCCTCAGTTCTGTCTGATCTCAGGTCCAGGAGAGGGTGAAGTCTTTGGAATCCGACCCTGTTGCTCGGCTCGCAGAAGCGGGTTTTTTGATGCCATCTGAACCGAGAGATATGGGGACAGAAGACATTTTTTGGTGGGAATAGTGGGATTTAGTGGAATATAATGTGACATAATTGCCCAAAAAAGGCAGCGAAGTTGGTTGATTTCAGGAGTTTAATTAGGTAACCATTTTAGTGGCGGTTTGTATGGCTTTAACAGCGAAATTCGGGGTTTTAACCAACAAAAATTTGGATATATATATATATATATACAGTATATGTATTATATATAAATTGATAAATGCTGGTTGATACCTTTTTTGTCGTGGGTTATACCAGCCTTCGTAGATTAAACATGAATGAACATCCATTAGCTGGGAATCCCCACCGACCAAGAGTTGTTTTGGATTTTTTTTCCAATAGGTTTTTGACACTGTTCATTTATCATTTCAATGGATTGGCTTAAGGGAAAATCTACAGGAAACCATAGATTTTCCCATCAAATATGGGGCTTTCCTGTAAATTTTCCCTTAAACCAATCCATTTATCATTGCCTGGGTTTGAAGGCTGCTTGATGTGCCATAGCCATGCTGACTGAGCAGTCACGATTTATGGGATGATCCTCTAGAGCTACTTACCCAAATGTATCCCCATAGATGCCTAAGTTTTTTTTTTTTTTATCACCACTGTTTGTTGGGATTTAGAGATTGAAATGATGATCAAATATCAAATTTGTGGGTATCCTAAGGTTCTTGTGACCTAAATGCCATGGTAAACCTTTTCCCAACATTATATCGAGATAAATAATGTTCATTCCCCGACCGGAGGCAAGATGAATTTGGTATAGCTGCGTGAATCCAAACCATAATTTCAATCGTGAAGTCGCGACGTGAGGTCGTGAACAAATTTATCCAGATATATTACATATTCCATCATATTCCCATGACTATCTTCATTATATATACTCATATATACTCACTATAATCATGGACCATTTTTATAGTTATTCCCACGAAACAATTGGTAAATAAGCATGTTCCCCATTTCAAGAGACACGCATAAACCACCAAAAGGGGCCCAAGGAACTGGCCCCCATCTTCGAAGACATCAAGAAGAATGGAATCGAAGCAGCCATGAAGTACTACCAGGATGAGGCGCTTCGGTAGCTTCGCCTGGGATGGACATTTTTCATCGCCACTACTGGGGTGATATGATTTTGAGCCATTCCCAGTTCGGTAATTTTAGCAATGGCTGAAAAAATCCAATGTTGGAATGAAAGATGATGGAAAGGGAGTTAAGCGCATAAAGGAGAGAATTGAGTGACAAGAATGGAAGAACAAAGAAGACAAATCGCACATTGACCAGCAAATACTTAAACAGATCAGGACATCTTGGAGATTAGACTACCAAATTGGCTACATGCTAACCAGTTAAGCCCCATTTTGGTGAAATGCTACTTCAACCCCTGGTGAATCATCATTTGCCCAAAACAAAGGCGCCCATACAGCATGGCCTTGGCGATGATGACGATCATGATCTATGGAGTAAAAACATAGAATTTACCGTCAGTTATGTGGGGGGTTCCTAAAATACAGTAAAATATGGGTCACCCTAAATCATCCATTATGGTTTAAAATATGGATGGTTATCATAAATTGACGGGATATAGGGTTCTCACTAGTTGCTACGCCAACCTTTGGCTCAAGAACACCGCTGCTAAAATAGCGAGTTGCATATTCTCCGTTCATGGTAGCGGAGCGATACGCTCCAGGGTCTTAGCAATGGACCAACAACAAGCGGCACAGGTCCTCCAGTCGCTCCAGGAACTACAGACCGAGGTCAATCGACTAAGAGGCCGAGAAGCTGAACTGACAGCACAGGTCGCTTCTTTTGGTGCCGGTTCGGCTGCTTCAGCTGGACCTGGCAGTGCACTGGCACAGTTGGTGCAGTCACAAAAGGAGCTTGTGGACGCCCTTAGATCGAAAGAACAAGTCCGGTTGGTCGACAACAAGGGCCTTGGCAAGCCCGACAAGTTTGATGGGACAGCCGAAAGATTCTTGTCATGGAAAATCAAGACGTCCTCCTATCTTGCAAGTGTTCGCAAAGACATTCGTGAGATTCTGGTTTGGGCCGAAGATTGCGATCATGCAATCACTGCAGATGACATCGACAAGGCTTTTGGGAGTCAAGCAGATGCCATTGACCAGGTGTCGAACATCAGTGAATTGAGACGCGAGCTTTGGGACGCGCTGCTAATGCTGACAGAGCGTGAGCCCTTTGACATCGTGCTGAACACCGGGGAATGCGGCATCGAAAGCTGGAGAAAGCTCACGCGGAGGTACGACCCATCCACTGGTGGTCGCAAACGCGCTCTCCTCAATGCAATCTTGTCACCGGCTCGATCCAAGATGGAAGATTTGCCGTCCAACCTGGAGAAGCTTCTTGACAGCATCAGACTTTATGAACGTCGCAAAGACGCATCTGGCAACCGAACGATGTTGGCAGAAGACATCAAGATCAACGTGATTGAACGATTGGTGCCGGCAGAGCTCGAGCGTCATCTCGTTCTCAATCGAGATCGCTTCAAGACGTTCGAGTCCATGCTGTCCGAGATCCAGTCCTATGTGGAACATGCCACCGGCAACAAGATCAAGGTGGTGAACAGCCAGCCCTACGACGCACATGGCCGTGGGGACGATCCTATGGATGTCGGAAGCTTTGGAAAAGATGCGAAGGGAAAAGGTAAGGGCAAGAAGGGAGCTGGAGGAAAACCTGGAAAGGGAAATGCAACAGCTGAGAAGAGAACATGTCACAACTGCGGACGCCCAGGACATCTGCGGGCAGATTGCTGGGCACCTGGAGGCCCCAAACATAAGGGGACGGGTGGCAAAGGCAACAGCAATCAGAATAAGGACAAGGGCAAGGGCAAAGGCAGCCCCGGAAAGCACAAGCAGAAGCCCAAAGGAGGCAAATCTGTGAACAATGTCGAACAAGGTGAACCAGAAGCAGAAGACTGGGACGCAGCTGATGGCGACGATGGTCAACAAGCAGCAAATGGTTTAACGCTCTATGGTGTTGATGGGCCACCGCATGACGAGGATGACGACGAAAGTTTCCAGGTCGATCCCGAGTCCGAGGAGTCGGAAGCCTCGACAAGTCGCAGAAGGTGGTTTTCTTTGCCTCACCCACGTGCGTCATGGCCTGAAGAGTGGGACGACCCCGACTATGATGGACCGAGTGGATCGAGTGGCTCAAGACCCCTTCGGTCGCTTCGACTGGAGGAGGTCACCGAGCACGAGACCACTACATCCAAGTCCGCGTCTTCCAAGGCACCTCGAACGCCACAGGGAAGACCCAAGAGGGGCAGAAGTCCAAAGAGCTCAGCACCAAAGAGAGGCAAAGCAAACAGATCAGGGCCAGTCACTCCGGAGTCAGCACTCCGACGCTTTCGAATGACTTCGATGACACCACCACCAAGGAGAAGGTTGAGGCATGGGCCACAGACTCCAGAAGAACTTCTTCGTAGCTCTACACCTTTGCCAAAGACACCACCGACACCTATAGCATGGCCTGCATCACCTCCACAACAGCCGATAGCCTCGCCCAAGACTCCACCAGGACCACCACCAGGATGGCAAAGCCAAGTAGCTTCACCCAAGACTCCGCCATGTCCACCACCGGGATGGCAAAGCTCTCAGGTGAAGCCACCACCACCTGTCAAGGCATCATCGGCAGCTTCGACTTCAGGTTCTCGACTTGTCCAGATGCTGAAGGCTGCGCTGAGTTCACAAATCCGCAAAGTCCAAGAAGAAGATCCTGGTTCAGGAGATGGCCAGGCAGATGCGATGTTAGCGGCTTTGAGGACTAGATCTGTCAAGGCACCGCACATCACAAAGCAGAACATCAGCGATCCTTCTTTCCACGACTCGAGATACCATGCCGAGATTGCCAAAGGTGTTGCACACAATGTGGCCTGGAGAAATGAACGTTTGAGAAGACGTGCAATCGTCCACCGACGAGGAGGAGTCAAGGCACGTGCGGCTGAAAGGATTCGACTTGACAAAGAATGGCATGAACGCTTTGACAACCCAGAAAATCCAGAAGGCATAGTGGGAATCGAGGATGAAGACAACTTGGATGCGGGCATCGAGACGGTGGTTGTGGGCAAAGCTGGTCAGAGCACAGTGATAGAGTTTTCAGCGGAAGAGCGGAAAACCTTGAGGCAGTTCCCGGACGACGAGGCCAAGTTGCTGCAGAAGGACCCCAAGAAGAAACCCATGACCAAGCGTGTTCGAAGCGTTGGGTACAGGGTGAAGAAGAATCGCAACCGCAATGTGGCGCGCAAGATGGCGAGGAAGAACCGACCAGCCTTGGTTCTGAAGGAAAACACTGAAGTGAACGCAGATGAAGATGATGATGAAATGGAAGAGGTCTACATCGAAGAGCCTGATGAGCCTCGAGACCGACCAGGCAGAGGAGACCCCGATGGTGGAGCTGGATCGGCTCCTGCTGCAGTCTACAGCTTGGGGGCCTCTGACGACTGGCGAAAATGGGAACGAGCAGAGTTGAACATCGACACCGGTGCTGCCATCACTGCAGTACCACTTGACTTCGCCAAGGACTACCCGAGGAGCGAGTCCAATGGAGCAAGCTACAAGGCAGCCAATGCGGAACCCATCGAAGATCAGGGAAGTGTGAAGCTGGTGGGATACGACGAATCTGGCAACAAGATCCCAATCGATTGCCGAGTTGCAGATGTGCATCGGCCACTTCTTTCAGGTTCCGAGATCGCCAAGAACTACCACATCGCCCTTGGACCATCTTCGGGGAGATTGATCCCAAGAAACACTCCTGCGGGACGGGCCTATTCGAAGGCCATGAAAGATCTGATCCGAGATTATGGCGATTCAATGCCCATTGTGCACAATCGCCGAGGCATCTATGTGTTGGACTATTGGGTGTCACCTTTTCAGGGGCATCCTCAAGAGGAGTAAGACCACAAATCAACGCTGTTGGCGAGGATCCAGCTGTTTCAGCCGGAGCCGATGCCATGGAAGATGGAGGCGATGTTTCAGCCGCTTCGGCCGGAGCAGGGTCCTCAGGCGATGTTCCAGCTGCTTCAGCCGGAGCAGATGCCTTTGAAGATGAAGTTGATTTGGAAATCGGTGAAGAACAGAGGAAAGCCATTGTGAAGAAAGAACCACATCAACCATCCCAAGCTGAAGTTGACGAACATGAAAGCACTGGACATGTTGTCCATCGGAGCTGGTGCTTGCACTGCAAAAGGGCACGTGTGACTGCTGATCGCCATGTGCCTAAGGAACTTGATGAGCCAGAAACGCAGTTGCCCACGCTGAGCCTGGACTACTTCTATATGAACCAGGACCAGGTTGCGGATGAGGCGACCCTTCCGAGCATTGTGGTGAAGTGCCACAAGACCAAGAGATTTTGGGCGAGCGTTCTCCCGGGAAAAGGGGCGGATGCGTTCGCAATCGCGTGGCTTGGGGGAGTTTTGGATGATGCTGGTTTTAATAAGGTAATCCTTAAGTCTGACGGTGAACCCTCCTTTGGTATCCCTTAAACAGAAGGTTAAGGAGATAAAGACCCACATCGAAGTGCACTTGGTGGAAACCCCAGTAGAAGACCATCAAGCCAATGGGTTTATCGAAGTGGGAGTGCGAGAGATAAAACGACAATGTCGTGCTCTCCTCAGCGACCTGGAGTTCAAGCTGGAAAGGAAGGTAGATCCGGGCCATCCACTTTTGGTTTGGCTCCCGCGGCATGCTGCCTTTCTCTTGACGAGATACCGAGTAGGTACTGATGGAAAGACCGCTTTTGAGCGGACCTATGGACGAAAATGGCGGATTCCGCTTGTGAGGTTCGGTGAAAGCATCCTGTATAGGCCGAGGGCCAATCGTGGGGGCAAGAGAAATGACCTTGCTCCAAGGGTATCCATTGGGATGTACGTTGGAACTGGAAACAGAAATTCAGACGTCTTTGTCATGACGGAACGTGGAATCATGAAGGGGAACTCGATCCATCGACGCCCACCTGACGATCAGTTCAAACATGATCAGTTTGACTCGCTACGTGGCCTTCCTTGGAGGTTGCAAGAACGAGAACATGGTGGACTGAGGATCGCCCTTCCCGATGTTGCAGCGCCTCGTGAAAGGCCTGCAGTGCAAGAAGTGATCCCAAGGAACCTCTATGTCACCAAGAATGACTTGGAAAAGCATGGGCACACACCTTTGTGTCCTGGATGTGAAGCAGCAATACTTGAGATGCCAAGCCGAGCTCACAATGCTGAGTGCAGACAAAGAATCCAGATCGAACTTGACAAGACTCCAGAAGGTCAAGAAAGGATCAAAAGAGCGAGAGAGAGAGTTGCACAAGGCAGGCGCCCAAGAGGCGCGGCTGCACCGCCTGAGGGTGGTGGGGCAGAAGGTGGTGAAGCTGCACCACCAGTTGTCCCAGGAGGGGAAGTTGAACAACCAGTCTTGCAAGACCGTGTTCCTTTGGATGCGGAAATGGATGCAAGTGAGGCTGTTGGTGAACCACTGGTCGACACCGATTTTCGTGGAGAACTCAGACAGAGAGAACAAGAAAGAGAAGGAAGCCCAAAGAGGCAGAAACAAGAACAATCCCGAGGAGAGAAAAGGAGTTCACAAGTCGACGTTGAAGATCTTTACAATGAATCTTCAGCTCAGGCTTCAGGGTCAGCCGGACCACCGGCACCGGATGCTTCATCTGGTGTTCCGGAAGGTGCTGCCGCTGCACCAACAAGTCCTGAGACAAACCAGGAGATGCTACATCTGTGTTCCTTGCTCAAAGATGTGATCGCAAAAGGGAAGGTTGCTGAGATCTTCTCTCCACCGCGTGTGGCTGCACAAGCCCAAGTGGTCGGGCTAGCACCTGGCTTCTCGATTGACTTGGAGACAAAGCGTGGTGATGGAACTCACTGGGACTTGAGTAAAGATGAACACATTCGTGATCTGTTTCAACTGCTTGACTATGAGAAACCAGAGTTCCTCGGCGGCTCACCTCCCTGTGGGCCATTCTCGAAGCTGCAAAACATTGTGGATGCGAAGGGCAATGTTTCACCTGAAGTTCGAGCGCAGAGACTAAAAGATGGTCGCAAACATCTGCGCACGGCAGTTTCAGCGTATGAGCATCAAATGAATGCTGGAAGGTACTTCTACCATGAGCACCCTAAAGGGGCCGCTTCGTGGGAAGAGAGAGCTGTGAAGAGACTGAGGGCAGATGAACGGGTGTATGAGGTCACTGGACCAATGTGCCGTTGGGGAATGAAGGCCGCCGATGGCCAAGGTGAAGGGTCAGTGAAGAAAGAAACTACCTGGCTCACGAACTCTCCAATCCTGGCACAGACCCTACAAGGGTGCTGTTCAAACAAAGAAGGCAAAGTTTGGCACCGCCATGTACATCTTGTTGATGGACGAGCCCGAGCTGCCCAGAAATACCCACCAAAGCTTGTCCACGCAATTCTCAAGGCCATTAGGCGCCAACTGGAATGTGATGGAGAACTACACTCACTTTCACATGGCCCAGTACCCGATGCTGGACCTGTGATCAATGAAGAGGAGGAGTTTTGGAAGCAGCTGCCCGACAGCGATGACACCATCGTGGAGCCAGTGCTTGACGCACACTCCGGTGCTGTCTTGGATGTTGACAAGGTCAGAGCTGCTCGACAAGAAGAACTAGCATGGGTACACAAACAGGGTATCTATATCAAAGTTCCACTCACAGAAGCCCAACAGTCTGGAAAACCGGTCATCACCATGAAATGGATTGACAGAAACAAAGGGGATGCAACACACCCCAACTACAGGTCACGTCTGGTCTGTAGAGAGATCAAACGGGCCAGCAATGCTGACTTCATTCCGGACTATGCGTCCTTCAGTTCGATGCCGCCTTTGGAATCGCTGAAATTGCTTCTATCGCTTATGGTGACTTTGAGACGATCCAAGTCTGGCAATGCACTGAAAGTTCGTCTTCTTGACATATCACGCGCTCACTTCTATGGAGAGGCAGAGCGTGATATCTTCGTGCAGTTACCTGAAGGAGATCGACAAGAAGGGTTTTGTGGCAAGCTCGTTAAGAGCATGTATGGAACACGCGATGCATCAGCGATCTGGCAAAGATCATATACAGAACTTCTCATCCGAGCTGGTTTTGCCAAGAATCAAGCTTGGCCATCCTGCTTTTACCATGAAGGTTACGGTGGTATTCGAGTTCTTGTACACGGAGATGACTTCGTGGTGCTTGCTGATGATGCTGGACAGAAATACCTTGAGGACACCTTGAGGTCCAAATATGATCTGCGGGTCGATGGATCGATCGGTCCTGGAGAACGGCATCAGCAGTTCGCAGTGCTCAATCGAATCGTGACCTACAACGAGCAGGAAGGCTCTGTATCCTATGAGGCGGATCCCCGCCACGTTGACCAGATGGTACGAGATCTAGAAATGGAAAACTGTAAGCCAGTCAAGACACCATCTGAGAAAATGTCAGCCACGGAGGCCAACTTGAAGTTGACCACCCCGACCATCACACCGGACCGTGTAAGTTTCTTCCGGTCTCTGGTGATGAGAGCGTCGTATGTGGCACAGGACAGACCTGACATCGCGGAGGCAGTGAAATGCCTATCAAGAAGAATGCATGAGCCCAAAGAATCTGACTTTCAGGATCTGAAACGCTTGGTGAGATTTCTGAAAGGGAAACCACGTGTACTTTTGAAGTTTGGTCGCCAGAAGTTTGCTGACACGATCCACATGTACGTGGACTCCGACTTCGCTGGGTGTCTTCTTACAAGGCGCTCAACAAGTGGACTTGTGGCAACCTTTGGCCGCCACACGGTGAAGGCCTCGAGCACTCTTCAGAGCACGATCAGCTTGAGTTCCGGTGAAGCGGAATACTACTCGATCGTTCGAGGAGTTTCCATCGGAATGTCGCTACAGGAGATCTTGCGAGGATGGGGCCTACAACCAAAACTTAAAGTGCACACAGATTCATCCGCTGCGCTGGGAACATGTAACCGTCAGGGCTTAGGCCGCTCACGGCATGTTCAAACTCGCTTTCTGTGGGTGCAAGAAAAGCTTGCACTACATGAATTCGAACTGGTGAAGATCCCGACAAAGCAGAACGTAGCTGATTTGTGCACCAAAGGTTTACCTGCGAATGAGATGGAAAGACACATGCAAAGCATGGGGTTCGAGTACTCTCATGGTAGAGCCGAAGCTGCAAAGGCTTTGGAATGAGTGTACATCAGCTTAGGAAAATCCCAGCCTCTGTACAGGAGGGGTGACGGGATATAGGGTTCTCACTAGTTGCTACGCCAACCTTTGGCTCAAGAACACCGCTGCTAAAATAGCGAGTTGCATATTCTCCGTTCATAAATTTATTATAAATATTTAAACCATCCATATTATAAATATCCATTATGGGTACCCCTAAATATGGGATGTTCCATTATAAACCATCCAGCTATTGGGGATATCCAGCATTTTAGGAACCCCAAGAAAGTCGTGATTAGTCCACCAACTTAGCGAAGGATTGGGGGGTATCACCTTAGATCGCCTTGTAGCATCTCGACTCATCAGAAGACATGAATCCAAGAAAAAGTCTGTGTTTTGGGATGATTCGATCCCCTTTTTCTCCCATATATTGATTAGTTACAATTGTTTTGGGAAATACTATTTGATTATCAGATCTTATTAAAAAATTGTTAGATATTAGATTACTGATTTATTTTTTTTTCTAAACAAATAATTATTAGATATTGTTAGATATTCTTAAAGTTTCTCCACATGTTCGCGATGCGACTTTCCTCGCCAAAGGAGATGATGTTGAAGATCAGCCAGAGGATGGGTGGTTTGCCTTCCGAGCTCTCACCCGTCCTGCAGAAGATCGAAGATTGGCGAGAGATCTACGGGATTTTTCGAAAAGATCCAGTAAGGGTATGTGGGCCATGAAACATGGAAAGCTACAAACATTTGGGGGATTTCATGGGACTTAACGAGGGAAATTATGGGAAATTGGGGTATAAGAGGGTGTAACCAACCAACATGAGGTGTCAATGGATTGGCTTTCAACTGGGAAATTCTACAGGTAAACCACAGTTTTCTTTCATCCAAATCTTAAACCAGTTCCGGAAACAGTCCAACATACCCATTATTTTATTATTTGTTTGAATTTTAGAAGATAGAATGTTTGCCGAAACCAGCAACATGTGGGATATCATGGGATATTTGTTTTAATTCACCGTGAAGTAGAATGACTTGAAATCGACCTCACCGGTTGTGACAGTCAGAAAGGGTATAAGGGTGATAAATATGATAAATCCACCAGGCATATGATTTTTTTCTCAAGTGACTTTTCCATTTCATTCCTAGGAAACGCTGAGATGACAAGATAGCGCTTTTCAGGGACCCATTGCTGTGTCTCAATGATGGCGATCCTATGGACCTTGGTGGGGGTGCAGCTCCACATTTTTTTGTGGGTTATATAACCATAGTATACCATAGTTGTAGGGGTTATATCATGTTACCCAACTATTACCGTTATAGTATAGTATACCCATTGATAACCCATATAATAATCATTATCATTATTATAATCATGCCATAGTTATATCATGTTGATAAGCCTTCTTGCCCATATAATTATGGTATTATGTTATTGGGGTTATACCCATTGATAACCCCAACTGGGTCCCACAAAAATCCCATTGAAGCCCAAGAAAAAGACATGAAATCTCCTAGGAGGTACACTGGCTATGTGAACAATCCACTCTGATAGGTTTTCCTTAAGATATTTCCAACGTTATCAACATCAACGAAGTTTCAGAGATATTCACCAATGTTGTGCCTGGCAGTCCCATTGGAGCCAATGTCAATGTCCTATCCCATGACTCCGCTACCAAGGAAAGGTTAGATAGTTCCATTGAACCAAATTATAGGATAATCACATGAAATCCAACTCTATTGTGGACAATGGTCCATAGGATATCACATGATCATGAAATCCAGCATTACTATGAACAATTGATGACAATTGCATGTATCCCATTTGAATATCCCATTAGACGCATATTGGTGTTTTCCCATGATTCTTCCATGAACCATCCACGGGAGTGCGGGATATGCCCAACGATGCTTAGGAAGACACGGCCATGACCCTTCACGAAGCGGCAGCTGGCTTGATGATTTGTTCCCAGGGTTACACCTGATGGTTGGAGGGTAGTTGACTATCCATCGGTGGTTTCTTAAAACATGGGGGATCCCCAAAAATCTAGGGTTCAATCCTAAACTTGTCTAATTTTGGATGATTTGGGGGTACCCCCATTTTAGGAAACCTTGATTATGTACATGATAGTAAATCAATACGTTCCACCAACCCCAAACTTACAATTTTTATCGATAGTATAAAACATCAACATATGGGTGGTTTATTATTGCATATTATTGCTGTACCAACATTACAGGGGTTTTAGCGGTGAAACATATGGTTGATATATGTTGATACCATTGATATCAACTGATGAATGAGGTTGATGCTTCATTATATAATTCCAGGGGGTTGTACTACCGAATATGTTTGGTGATTATCGGAATCCATGAACTGGGAATCCCTACCAACCAAACAGAAAAATGGAATAGCACAGAAACGACAACACAGACACGGCCCTTGCCTGTGACCTACTCAGATGTATTGGCTCTGCTGATGTGGCTCTGGCTCAAAATTTGGATACCAATGGGCCCACGGCCCAAATTCTTTGCTCTTAAACAATCCCATGTGTTCCATGTATGGAACATTTACTTACGGTTATTTTGCGGTAGACAGCTCACCTTGGAAAGTGCGTGGCTGGTTTGTTGGTATCTTATGGTGTATTCACCTAAATTACCATTATTCACAGTTGAGAAACATCGATTGTGCGGCTAAGACCAAACTTTGGGCAAACCGAGCCGGTCAAACCACAAAAAGTTCCCAACTGTTGGTTGGTCATTCTAGCGGACACTACCATTTGATCTAAATTAGACTATATAGATTTAGATATGGATTTATATATATATATATTATATAGGGTATTGCAAACTGCCCCATTTTGTTCGGAAATTCGGAACACCCACAGTGATTTTTACCTGACAATGCGAGTACCTTATCCAGCCCTGACAAACCGAAGACATATCAAGGCGAAGAGGGGAGATCTCAACGCGGTGAAGACCTTTTTGGACAAGAACAAGCCATTGGCTTAGCTGTTTCATCACTCGCGGACACCAGCTCAAGCGCAGAAAGGCCACCAAAAAGCGCGTTAGCACGCCAGCACTCCAATGGTAACTTTGCCTGGTATGCATTCGCCAATAGAAGGTTTTTTTTCTCTTTTGGTTCATATTCTATATAGCCTCTGGTCATTTAACACTTCGCCATGGTAAATCACCCTTTTTACTGTTGGTAAATCATCTAGTTCGGTCCATGGCTTCCATATAGCCCATCTGTTTACTGAGGCCACTGGATTCTCAGGACAGGTATGACAAACACTGGGGCTTCAGGGGGGGCTCCCCTGATCAGTTGTGACCGATGTGATGACTTCCAGGCATGTCATGTAGTTGATCCATTGGATAATGGACATGGTTAACCATCGATACAAGATGATACAACTAAAATTTAGCGGGAAATCTTTGCTAGTCATTTGTGACGTTTGGAAGCCATGGCCCATTTAGTTTGATGATTTACCTATCAAACATGGTGATGTGCCATGGCTATGTTATATTGTCCTTTGGAACAGTAGCGCTGCCGATATTTTGGGCATCCACAAACAGGGAGGTCCCATACTACCCCACTCTTACCCCTTTTTTAAGCGATACTATCCCCTGAAATCTCCTGGTAGGTTTGTCAACCATTCATTATGAGAGGTTTCCTAACAAAGGTTCCCAAGTATCTACGTCACCTAGTAAATTGGAGATATTCACCTTTTGTCTAGGAGCCTATGGGCATCCCATCAAACCCATATGAAATCATATAATTATGTTTCCTTTATCTAGATGATCCATCATTAAACTATATTTAAATACATTGTTAAACCATATTAAACGATATTAAACCATATATTAAACCATATATTAAACCATATTCAATCCCATTAAAACCTGACCTTATTAAATCCTACCAAAAAGACATCACCGTGTGTAAGCCTATTTGAACCACAAAAACAATAGTTTTGACATTCTATTCATGTGCCACGCCCACCGGAAGGACTACAAGGGCATCACCCCTTTGGGCTACGCCATCGGTGCCAACCGCATCGCAGTGGTGAAGCTGCTGTTGGACCCTAACGGCGAGTTGGGTTCGGATTTTCGTTAAGTAACCAACGACATTTACCGTAATCTCAAAAAGATAGAACAGTAAATTATCACTATGACTTCGGATTTTACTTTCGATCTTTTTGGGGATTCGTAGATATAATTTTTTATCTTCAAAATGGTACTCGGTGGATGAGGGAGTGAAGGAGCTATAGCCTGCTATAGCTATATTCTCCATGGAGTGGGGCCAACAAGCCGCAGGATAGCCGAGCGAATCCTTACTCCGTGGATAGCTCCGGCGTCTCGGAGATGGTGGTCTTGAGCAGCGAAAAGGTGGTGATTTTGACCTTAACCAATTGGCTTTGACCCTGCAAAAATGGAGATTGAATCTGGGTAAATTATAACTGGAAATCATGGTTTATGTTAGGGAATTCATCCCCAAATGGCCGCAAGATTCAGGTTAGTGAAATATTATCATTTACCCAGATTGAATATGGTTGAATCAACAAGAGTGGAGGTTACCCTCTGGTAAACGTTTACATAGCTATGGAAAGATCCACCATTTTTTATGGGAAAATACACTATTTCTATGGCCATGGCTTCAATAGCTACGTTAAATTACCAGAGGGTAGCTATAGCATGAGAGGTATTGTGCCCAAAGATGCAGGCCAATTTTCTTGGCTGTACACAGAGAGCCGAAAATTGTCGGCCGAAACGCTGACAAACCACCCCCAAATGTGGGGTTTGACCCAACAGACATAGGGATTTATTCATGGAGTTAAACCCCCAACAATAACGCCTTGTGGATCGGTGGTTAGCCAATGAGAATCCCATCATTGTCCGTTCTTCTTATCCCATGATGATTCCCACGAAAGCCATCACCGATTCACCATCTTAAAGCAATGTATATAATGTATATATTATCTTATGAGATACCCTCTGGTAAACTAACATAGTACTGAAAATAACCATTTATGGTTGATTTACCTAGTCAAAATGGTGATTTTCCATAGCTATGTTAAACTACCAGAGGGTATCCCAGATTTTCCAGTAGCCAGTCCCAAGGAAACAGCGGTCTTCACTACGCAGCAGGCGGGCGGCACTAGGAAACCACACGTAAATTGTGGTCGAGTTGCTCAAGGCATACTATGAAAGAGGAGGATGTGAGGATGTAACCATGAAACAGGGGACTTCACTATCAAATATTTTTACTTACCAAACATGGGGATTCAACTCAGAAATGAAGACTTAGGTGAGTATCAAGCATGGTATCATGGCTACTCATAATTAATTATAATTAATAGAAACCGTCCCCAAATTGTGATTTGTATTCTGTAAATGCTTGATGTTCTTGGATGTTTTATAATTGTGGATCTGTGGATCCAACGTATATACTCTGCCTATATATATATATATAATATGTTGGTTGTTTACCAAAGTCGGAATGTATCCAAACAAGCCACACACACACAAACTCTTGCAGGGGAGCAAACAAGGATATAGAGTGACATGAAAGACATGTGTTATCAATTTGTTTTCCATATCTACAATAGGTTGCAGGAGTGTAGCCAATAGTCCTGTGCAAAGAAAAGTGGGGCGGCAATGAACCCACATCCAACAGCGTTGAATTTCTCCAGTGCATCTCTTGCTGATCAGTGGCGTTGGCATGTTCATCCCAGCAAATTTCCTGCTGTTTGGTATGCTATACAGGCTATTCAACCTTACAGATTGTGTACCTGAAAATCATCTAAGCAAAATCACTAAATCGTTATTGTTCCATGAAACATCCTCTTTAACCCAAACATATCCCCTTGTTATCCCAATGATTGATTTATTCAGTATTAGCCATTACTATCCCAGAGCCTCCGAGGGAAGGCCCATATCCCCTCTTCAAGATACCCGCATATTCTGTTCATCCTCAGCCATGATGATCCAAAAATATTCCATTGTCATAGTTAATTATCTGGGTAAATTATAACGACCTACCTGCGACCTCACTGGAATCATGGTTAGTAAGAGGAATCATCCCAAAATGGCCTTAATTCAGGTTAGTGAAATATTATAATTTACCCAGAATTATCCCACACCATGATGATCTCATCATTGATCCGTTCTCATCCCATAAAAAAACCATTAAAAACCAATGATGATTGTATAGATCTTATGAGTTTGATCGCCAATCAGACGTGGTTTTTTTCGCAACATCCCCCATTCAGTTCGATGATGATCTCATCGACATTTCAACCTCCATGAAGCCAAGCCGGGAAAATCCGCCATTCTCAAAGACATCCCATAACATCCCATAACTATTTCATGAAAAAATCCCACTAAATATGCCATTCATATCACATAATATCCCACTAATATGGTAAACCCAATGATAAACCTACCATTTGGGGATGTTTTATAAAATTCATGTCCGGCGATCTTGGGGATGGTTACCACATCCCCAGCTCCTTTCATCCGCAGCGCCAGGCTATGGACGAAAGGACCTCTTAGAGTATCTGCTGAAGGTTGGCGCCAACGCAACGTGGCTGGTAGACGGTTGGAATACCCTTGGTTTTTTTCTACAATGGGTGCATATATGGTGCAGTCACCCTCCAAAACATAGAGAAGATATTCCAGCATTTTAGCCTGTTTTGTTTTTCTTCTTTTTTCGGCTTGCTAGATAGACATGATAGACACAACCAGCGGATAGATACCAACCAGCCAATCCACAAACAATGCACGGTATCCAAGATTGGGTCGGTGCTGGGGCTAAAAACGACTCGAAATACACCCATGGGGACCCAATTTATGTTTTATAATTCCTTGTCCAACAAAAAAGTGTGGAGAAGCCCTTGGTGAGGGGGTTTCCACTTAGTTATAACCTCATTACAATCATAGTAAGTTATTGGCATGAGGGATTTTAATCCCCTCTCATTAGAATCCACGACTTGAGTACTTAGAAACCCATACTTTCCCATGTCTTTCCTGGTGAAGCCCATATTTTCCCATCTGTTTTCCCTGATTTCCGCCCTTCAACCGCATGGGTACCTAACTAATTATTCTAATCCCTTAGCCATAAAGGATGATAGGGATTTTCGTCACACCTAGGCAACATGATCATCATCTATATAATCATACTTCATCAATCTTCATCAAAATTATATTTTTTACTTACTATATGTATATTATTGTATATTATACTTGTAGGTTTCCAGGATTTTCCCCATATGTTTGTAGCTTCCACCGTTGCTTCAACCGTTCAGTAGCGAGGTGAATCAGCCCAACGCACAGGGCCTGACGCCCCTGGCGGCGGCCACACAGAATCGACAAGAGGCCACGATGCAGGTCCTGAGAGAACATGGAGCGCAGGCCTAGGCGCCCAAGCGAAAAACCAAAAAGCTATGGAACATTACCATCTGGTAAACTAACATAGCTATTGAAAATGGCCATTTATAGTGAGTTTTCCCATTAAAAATGGTGATTTTCCATAGCTATGTTAAATTACCAGAGGGTATGACTTTCCATACAATTATTCCATTATATCTGGGTAAATTATAACGACCTCACTGCGACCTCACTGGAAATCATGGTTAATAAGGGAAATCATCCCCAAATGGGCTTAGTTCAGGTTAGTGAATTATTATAATTTACCCAGATTATATAGTATAGTTATATTCATCAATATCCAATGAATACATATAAAATCATATACCATCTGGTAATTTGTTACATAACTATGGAAAGATCCACCATTGTTCATGGGAAAATCCACTATTATACCTAAAACTATAGTTATATGACAACTGGTTGGTGGTTTGGAACATGAATTTTATGTTTGGGAATGTCATCATCCCAACTGACTTTCATATTTTTCAGAGTGCTTGAAACCCCAACCAGTATAGATCTAGCATAGGTTTTGCCAGGAACTCCCATAACCAACCATCAGTCAACCATGATTTATCCTCGGCGACAAAAACATAGGATAGAATCGACCTCAAGATGGGTATAGAGGAGGATAGGTATAGCATAGGTAACCCAGGTATAGCATAGGTATACCCTCTGATAATTTGTTACATAGGAAATTGCACATTTAGTGCATTGATTTATATACTTATTAAAGATGGTGATGTTCCATAGAATCTAGCTCAAGATAATGGATAGCATAGGTATAGATCTAGCATAAGCCTCACTAAAGTGTATATCAAAATGTATAATTAGAGTGTGCATATATATATATATACATTTAGATATAATCTACCTCAAAATTGCTATTTTTGATTTAGATTCGGATGTATTTAGCATTTAGATATGATATAAGTATAGCTAGACATATCTAAATATAAATTCAAGAAAGCTAGATATATATATATATACATATATATATATATATATACCATAAACTATAGATATATCTACCATAATATGTAACAAAGACATAGTATTAGAGTTTATATTGAACAACAACAAGTTGGTTATATATCCCATTAATATCTAGTTAGGATGTATTGAAGTCGCGCACCATAAACTATAGGAAGCCATAGAATGACCTGGTTTCTTTTGACCAGCTCGGCTAACTCTACACCAACAACTCTGGATTAAATGTGCATAATTGTACATATAGAACGGTGGAAACAGTAGAATATTATGCACTATAGATATGTCCAGGTGTATGCATATATATATATACACAATAATCATGAATTTTCTAGTAACATGATACTCCTGTTGGTCATGGCTGTTATGACATGTGGATTAAGCTCTTTAGTTGATTGGTGAATATTATAACTTATAACCCTATTAGAGATACCAATCAATCAAACCTCTAAAATGATTCCCAACTCTACACCAGACTCCAAGTCTATCAAAAATGCCGTCTTGCGCCATCTTTCTCAAGCCTGCGGTGCATTTTGGCAATTTTTACACCTTGGATTTGCTGCGTGGCCGTATTGAAAACTTCAGTACGGAAGCAGCCTCCAGCGGGATCCAGGCTGAAGCAACGGCCCTTGATGGTTCACTTCTGGAGGTGTGCGTGGCGTTCATGGTGAAAAAAAAATCATCGCGAGAGGGTCTGGGATGTGACAGAGGCTTTTGACCTACAAAAACTGGGGATTCTTCCCAGAGAACAGTTTTTTTTTCATGTTTTTGTCCATTAAAACCACATTTGGATGGCCGGAAGGCCCAAAGATGGCTTTCCCTGGCTTTCCAACAGCGCCCCCAACATATACGTTCCGGGTTTTGTTAAGATGCTGGGAAATCCACATTCTTTATGGAGGTCATGGGAAAATCATCTATGAAATGGAGGATGTTCATGGATTTTCCATTGTCATCTGGTTGGTGGTGACTGGAACGTGTTTTATTTTCCATTCAGTTGGGAATGTCATCATCCCAACTGTTACTCACTCCATCATTTTTCAGAGGGGTAGGTATACCACCAACCAGTCATGTTCGATGACCGGAGGGTATTCTCTTCCATTTAGGGGACAACATCGCAAGAAACTCACCACAAAACCACACTACCTTGGAAGATCTCGATTCGCCAATATGGGCGTGTCCAAAAATAGGGGATACCCCAAAATTGCCATTGCCATTAGGGAATGATAGTAACCCATTGGATTTGGGTAATTACCATATTTTCAGGCAACCCGATAATATGTGGATATAGGTTTGTATGAAAATATGGCATCATAATATTCCCTACTAAACTAAACGCACGATTTACGGGTATACTGCAATTACGGACACACCCACATATCATATCAACTTGGATATACATTCCATTATACTCTCAGTAAGTTCCATGAAATTAATTAAATCCCTACGGATTGTTCATATCCCATATCCAGAAGTTGGGATATGGGGCACCTGCAAGCGTAGTGAAGTATATCCACTAAGAAATCCCAACTGCGCCCCGACAGATGTCATGCTACAGACATCATATCCCCACCTGGTTGGTGGTTTCAAATATTTGTTGTGCAACCATACAAGAGGGATTATTGGCTCAGATGACGAACATTTTTGTGTGGGATAGTTTAAAACTACCAACCACAAAAAAAAACACGAAACATCCACTGAGTTTTCCCTATATCCCATGTTGATTTTCCCTATCTCCAGCTGGCTATTCCCACTGCCGAGGCGCATTCCCATGCGGTTCCGCCCTTGCAGCAGCCCTTGCCACCCCAAGGGCAGGCGTCGCGCTGTGAAAAATGGAGGTTTGTCCTTGGCGAAATATGGAAAACACATGAAAAAACATGAGAAAACCATCCATTTTTTCGTGTGCTATAATGGGACTAGAGTGAGGATATAACCATAACCAACAATCATGGGATATTCACGGGGATATTATGGGGTATAGAGCCAACTATGCCCAATTTGGGCAACTATACCTAATTTGGGTATGTCTGAAAATGTGGTATCCCACCACCTGAACATTTCAGTTATATAATTGGGAACATGATGATAAACATTGGAGTTTGGGGTACTCTATTTTCCGAAAAAACACTCACTTGGTGAATGGATATTTCAAACCAAGGATGAATGTAGTACAATGTATTACATGATTCTAGACTAGTTCTGAATGGAATATAGCCAATAGGATACTTGCCTTTGTCCATGAAGGATTTAGCCTCAATTTATGGCAATGTTCTTGGGGAAAGTGATGATAAACCAACTCGTCAAGATGTCTTACTGTACACAGTTGGTTTACAACTCGGCTACCCTGGGGTAAACGTTTACAGTTCGATCTGGAAAAACTGCACCATGAATGCAGACAGTTTTACGAATGGAAAAACATGCGTTTTCCGAATCTAGATCTATGTTTGTTTACAGTGGGTTGGCGGACATGATGTCTAAAAAATGATGATTGCATCTAAGATTCTACAACATTAATGTCCTCTTATACGTCCATCCTCATCGTTCATGTCCTTTTTCATCCGGCTCCCGTCGGGTAGCGTTTCAATGTGTTTCCCCCCAGTGATGTTTGTTGGTTGTTAATTAGCCCATCAACTAATTCGATATATATATACCATGAAGCCTCCAGTTAAAACTAGGTAACACTAGGCAAATATTAATATTCAACTGTAACATCTAGTTATCATCTAGTTATATGTTTAAAACATTTTAAAACATATTAGGTTTACCATGATATGATCTAGTGAGATGTTTACAAACATCGGTAACACCAGTGGTAACTCTTCAACCACCCAATATAGTGGAGTGATAGCCGTCACAAGCAACGCTGAGCCAAGGGTGTCCTCAAAAAAAAAACACACTTCAAGGTATCTTTCATCGTTGACCCTCCAGCTAACTAACATAGGTCTGGGTAAATTATAACGACCTCACTGCGTCCTCACTGGAAATCATGGTTAGTAAAGAACATCATCCCCAGATGGCCTTAATTCAGGTTAGTGAAATGTTATAATTTACCCAGATTTGTTTGTATGTTAACCCCAGTGTAAGACTTCGATTCTGCCACCCGTCTCGCAACGTTGTTCCGCCAGCTCTATGGACAGCACATGTATGGCCAAGGGCACAGGGGCCCAGACATGTTCGATAAGGACACACTGGGAGAGCATGGTGTGTAGCTACCCAATTAAATGGGAACATGGGAAAACTCCCTAGGAATTATGGTAAGTTATGATAATGATATGTTATACAATGATGATAACGGTTATGACAATGATAATGGGATATGGTTTAGCTATTCCCCAAAAAGGACGCCGAAAAGATTGAATTTTCCCTGACTAATGGTAGGATGGTAGGATTTCGTCGCAATTTACCAGTAAAATGGTAGAACTAGATTATACTTTCTATCTTCTCTGGGTTTGGCTATTTTTTAAATTTACTTCATTAGCCGACCAAACCCCAAAAATGTATTGGCAATGATCCTACATTAGGTCAACAGTGTCGATTCGCGAGTTTGATCGTTTGCCCAGCTACCTTTGTCGCCAGCTTTGATGTTTGGTGTTTTTAGGGAGCTATCAAACCTATATTTGTTGAACCTGTCTCTGACATTCTCTACCAAGCTTAACTTTTTAGATTTAAAACATATCTCTATCAATCCGATCTCTGTGTCAGGCCTGTTCAAACCTCCAAAAATATCAATCCGAATTCAAAAAAAAACACCTCTATCAAGCCGCTCTCTCTATCAAACTTAGGTATGCTTGTCAAAGTTCTGCCTATCAAGTTTTTTGCCACCAGACCTACAGCTACAGCTGATGATTCCCTGATTCCAATCGAACCAAATTCACCATGTGATTTCCCTATTGTTTGTTCGTTGAATCTCCGTGTTTTTGCTGACTACAGACTACATTTTTTTTTGCTAAACTAGCATCAATCTGATAATATATCATTATATTCATATACCATCTGGTTATTTAACATAGCCATGGAAAATCACTATTTTTTATAGGTAAACCATCTATAAATGGACCATTTTCCATGGCTATGTTAGTCATAACCAGAGGGTATCTTCACTTTCCCCATGATTTCATCGCCATGAAATCCCCGCCAGAAATCTTCCATGGTGTGGTTATCCAGTTATCCATGGGTTTCTATCTCAACATCCAACCTGAGGCAACAACTCTATGGCAGCCAGGCTGGGGGATGGGCCAAAACATGGCCTTTTGGGGATGGGCCAAAATGGCCAAAACCTATGGAAATTACCATATTTGGAGGAATAAACATCCATTAACCAGCGATTATAGGGTAGAAGGGTTTGGACTTATAGCCATATTATGAGAACAATGAATTCCTATACTATGAATGGTCAACAGTCAACATAACTTTTATGATTTGATGATAAAACATGACTGATGGTTGATTGGTCATGGGAGGGAATTATGCTGGCTTATTGGGGATGATTAGAACATATTAGAACTAACCTATAGTCGGGAAACCGTTTTAATCATCCCCAATAATCATCCCCAATAAGCCAGATATAATCAATAGTATATCTCTCACTTATATAATCATCCCCAAGCATCATCCCCCTATAGTCTTAGTATAATGAGATGAGGGGCATGTTTAATGGCTCATATTGATTAATGAATAGGATTCCTGTAAAGATCAGGACAACACAAATTCATACACATGTTTGCTGGCAAAAGCATGCAAAACCAACGGAGGGTATTCAACTGTGTTTACCTAAAAAGACGTGCATAACCAAGAAAACATGACATTTAAGCAGGAAGAATGGGGATGCAACCTCATTCAACCCCTGGAAATTTGATGTAATTTGGTTGCTGTGCTGCTTCCATCCCACCCTTTTTGGGGTTTGGATCAAGCCATCCTGTCCAGGCATCTATCTACTCAGGCGGTGATCGCGGTAGCGGTTTGGATAGTGACAGCAGCCCCAAAATGATAGGAAAGTGTGTAAGGATCTTAGTTCAATGGGGTGTCCACCATATTTTCAGGTTTCCAGTGTATCTATCTTCTTGGAGGTTGCTAGAATCTGATTGAGGGCCATACTAAGTGGCTAGCAAGAATTTTGCACCCGCAGTTTTCTTTAAAATATGACATATTATTGTTTGTACACAACAAAAAGTGTGCAATAATATGCAACATATAACTACAATTGCCCCATGTGCTCCATGTATAGAATGCTTACCAACATTTAGCATAAACAATACCCCTCTGGCAAACTAACATAGCCATGGAAAATCACCTCTATATAAGAGGTAAATCAGCTATAAATTGCCACTTCTAATAGCTACGTTGAACTACCAGAGGGTATATAAAAATGATTTACATATGGGTAAAAAGACCATAGATCGAGATATGGGGACTCAGATTGGCCTAACGGTTAGTTGACTGGTGATCGCCTTTTTTTTTCACACATTATGAGTGCGTTTGAAATTGGGAAATGGGATTTTAGGGTAGACAAACCCAAGTGGAGAATAGCCACCGCATTGAATATGGGTTATCTGTATGAAATGTGACGTACTTGAAATAGATATGAAACATATTGGTGATTTGACTTTGACCATGTACAAGGGTGGCTATTATATAATATGTAATTGGACGATAGTACTTGGATGGGCAATGTTTACTTACTTGACTGGTGATCGTAACCCTTTGCAATTGAGGGTATATGATTTATATAATGGCTGATCTTCCCCCTTCATGAAACTTGTATATATAATTATATATATATAGTTATATATATATATATGTATCATATAGTGCTTTTTTTGGTTGGAATATCAACACGTATGCATCGATTATATATCGTCTACAAGCAACTTACTATTCCCGGGATGCAAATCCACGTATAGACATGGGGATTTCAGCGATAAGCAGTTTCAATTTACACTTCCTCTAGAACACGGCAAAGAAAGGATTCGAGTCAGATAGGCGAGAAATATCAAATATCAACTGTGATTTCCAGGCTCTCTTGTCTCAATCCATGGAACAAATCACTTGAAATATTGCGTTGGACTGTACTTGAGAAGGCCTCCAGCAAATTTGTTCAACTTTTGCATCTCCAGTTTTTCTACTCCATTGTTGTGGATCCATTTTTGGGAAACACCTGTTTGTTTTGGGGAATATCTAGAATAAATAGTGATAGGAAGTAAAATGTTGATTCATAGGTTGGGGTACATAGCCTTTCTTGCAAGTTGTCCTTTCGTCCAGTGGGAATTGGAGATTGACTCCCCTCACCCCCTCCTCCCCGATCTGAGGATTGGTTGCAACATATTGGCAGTTGTTTCTGCATTTGTTTGGGGGTTACTATACATGTTCCCATATATAGTAAGCCCAAAAAAAAGATTGAATCATGTTTCCCTGATGGTGTATATAGATATATAAATGATTTGGTTCCCAATAATTTCCAGGTGCCCAACTTATGTATATATCTTTTTGGGGGTTGCTATATGTGGGATTTTTGTTGGTTATTGTCATCCATCCCATCATTAGGGATTCCTAAAATGGTAATATGAATCCCTAACTGATTGATATACCGTTCTGGACCTGGGCAAGTTAGTTTATGAATTATTGGCAAACAGCAGTTAGTTGCATCAATTATTGCCAAATGTCTTTATAGTATCGTTAATGAGTTAGCCGCAGTTAAACCACCATTTCTTGACTCGGCCACTGTCCAACACTTGCGATGAGTTGGGAGGACTCCCCAGGCACTTCTTTGTCGTATGTGACAGTACTTCTTCGTGGAACAAAAATCAGATCATGATGATCTACCCTCTGGTGAACTAACATAGCAATGGAAAATCACCATTTTTCATGGGAAAATCCACTATAAATGGCCATTTTCCATTGCTATGTTAGTTCACCAGAGGGCATATTTTTTGACCAGTCTGATCATCATGCATATCTTCGAATCTGCAAGGATTCTAATCCCTGTCAAAGGGACGAGATTGTCGGCGCCGT